AATGCTTCGACTGGGGAACAAGAAGAATTGATTGTCGCGAGTGGTCATAGCGTTTAGAAGACAAAGGTATATCCAACCTGTAAATTCGTTTTAGCTAGATTTCTTAATGAAAAACTTTCTAATCAATAAATTCAACATCAAACCCACTTTTATTGTCCATCGATGAACCTGAGTCGAGTAGTTCTTTCGCGTCTAAATTACAAAGGTTATCAACCAAATCGTTTTGAAAATTCCTGAATTTCGCTGAGGAGTCAAGGGATTTTCGCATCGACAATATGAATGCCATCCTTGTAACCAGATTAACTTGAATTATAAAATAACCATTTAGTAATTTCAAGCTAACAAAAAAAGACAATCGCACTTCTAGGATGGCTCACAGGAATATGATTCGGATTTGATAACCTCCAGAAAGTCCTCAGCATCACTTTGTGAAATATTTGCCGATGAAAACGTTTCCGAGCATAGAATATGCAGAACTCTAGACCAATACAATGAATGGTTTCCACGGGATCTTTTTACTGCTTCCTCGATCAACCTTGAAATATGATCTATTTGAACCTCTGTTGAACTATCGGTGGAAATCAACCGAGCGATCAACGATTTGACATCAAAACATCCATTCCGTACGTTAAAATCTGTGTATTGCCTCATGATCACATGAACCTCCCCCAAATATGCTTTGAGTCCATGGTAGTCACTTTCTTCCGTATGATTAACATCCCACAGATGATAGCTGTTGGTACGCGATCGATAGTTATCAGAGCACAACACGTAGATCAATAATAACTCCAGAAGAATCCAGTGAGAATAAGAAGATATTTTTGCTTCCTTCGAGGCAGTCTCTGACAAGTTCCCAGCATCGATACCAAAAAATGTAGAGATACCAAACTTGTTGATAAGCTCTAATGAAAAAAGGCCAAGGCGCCCATAAACGCTGAGGCCATAGACATCGTAAGCAACCTCAGGAGAGACTGTATGCTCATCTGTTTGCCCATCCGCGATTAGAAATGGTAGTATCGCCGGATCGATGATGCTAAGAGATAGATCCGTGGGCAAAGACAAGAAGGGCTCACTGAGCTCACGCCATTTTTCTTCACCTAGTAGAAACGTTG